CGGCTAAGACAGGAAAATAACGAGAATACAGGTAACTTGACATTTGTAGTTGAACAAGTTAAACGAAATTGGTAGAAAAATTGCTGCTGCGGTAGCAGAGTGCGACCTACGATCATGTAGCAACTTGGCGAACTTAAAAAGCATGGCAACAAATTAGAAGGCAAAGGTCAAGCAAAAAATCGAATACATAAAAAATATGGGACTGGTTATATTTTCAGAAGAGATCCTAGACTTTCTAATAAAACCTGACTATTCTGGTGACCGCCTTAGCAGATAAATAGCAAATTATTTATGAGTCCTCTGTGCTCGGTTTGACGGATTTAAATGCTAAGTTAACAGTGAGATAATGACTAACTCCATTAATACAGTCCTTCAGGATGATTGTCTCGTTCCTTAAAAGATTCAACACTGGTTGTCGAATCTTTGACGCAAAACTGTGAAAATCAGCTGAGATCAATGCAGGAAAATTATCAGGGCGGCATGACTTAGATATTAGGTCTAATTTTCATATGCGTCATATTCGTTCCTATACTATATATATTATTCTGTCAGCAAGATATAACTGTTCTTTAATTGTCCTTAAGTGGAAGAGAATCTTAATATCCCCATTCAAGGTGCGCATTCATATGAGATAGATGTGTAATCTTATGGACTAAACAATCACATTATGTTCAGTCAAATATAGTGTAGTGAGAATATTTGTTTGGTAACACACACGTTCATTTATAAATATTACAATCAACACTACCCTCAGGTTAATGAAATTTATTTAACTAAGAATATATCTACCGGGTGCTAACTAAAATTGTGTGCTTGTGTCCGAAGTGAAAGCTGTCACAACTTCCTGATTATTAAGGAGCCTTCGACATTGAAGTCGACGTCATCAGTTTTACTGGCCGCATTCTAGTTTCTGGCGATACTTTGAGCATCCATGCCAAATTGCTATGGGATATGTCATTCCTCAAATATCTCTCCACAACTAGCCAGATCAAATCACATCTTAGCATATCGACGACCTTCCAAATATGTTTTCGAACTCATTCGTCCCTGATATTTGGCATGACTGGGCACTGGATACTCGATTATTAAGGTGTTGTGGACATCAGCGTTGTCAAGTCCTGAATAACTACAACATCTTTAGGGTCATTGTAAAATGCACTGCATTTCTACTGTGGTAAGGCATCAATGATTACAAAATAACGTCATTCAAGTATGTGGAGAAACGTGTTAGTTATCTGGTCAGTTTTCGACAGCCACACTACTCTACTAAAAGCGCATCCATCCACACAGAATACATATCGATCTCAGGATAACTCGAACTCACTAGGACTGATGAATTTAAGTGGATGTATTACTCACATTAAATGATAATGAAGATGTGGAATCATACGAAAACACCCGAAAATAGGCTCAAAGAAACTGCCACGAGTGTTTCGAAAAGGCAGTGATTTAGTACTTGTTGCGATTAATTTTGCTTCCGTGTACTTGTTGTATCAAAAAGCATTCTTGGTTTCCTCTAAATTAAAGTATTTCGCTTAAGGTTTGAATTTTACTTTACTTAGTCTTGTGGTGCTTTCCATATTGTTGGTTTTGACATTTCTGTACATATAGTGATCGCATTGTGTCTTAAGCGTTCCTTATCTGATTATAACGTTAGGCAGCAATTGTAAGTTTCCAGAGCCGAATTGTTTATTCCTCGTGGAGGAAGGGGTGCAATGAGCGTGAAAAGTGGTTACATAAAATGTGAAAAGAATAAATTTATAAGCGGCACCCACACGGTTCGCAAGTCATTAGCGAACTCCCATTCTGAGTCACAAAACACAATGTGATCTTTTGTTAAGTAGTGCTCATAGTCACGACGGTACCGACATCCGTGTAAGACCTGATATATCTTTTGAAGATAGAGTAAGAAAGAAAACCGAACTAGAAACCCGTTGACAAAATGGTGGGGAAAATTCCCGCTTAGTTGGTATTCAAATAGTCAGGTCCTGGGGGCAGACCCCACCAATGTCTTGGTGGATAGGCCGTTCTCCCTAGGGGTTTTATATGCGAATGCTCGTAGTCTAAGAAATAAATTCTATGAACTAGGAGCGTTAGTGGACAAACTGAGGCCACTCATTGTAGCTGTGGCGGGACTATGGTTGGTCCATGACTTCGACATTATTCCAGAATCATCCGAGTACCACTATCTAAGAATCGATAAGCACAGATTTTGAAAAGGATGTGGCATCCTACTATAAATAGCCAATAATATAAATATCCACTTGTGCATCACGTGATAGCGGAACTTGTTAAGCCATTGACTGTGAGCTTTACGTGTCTGACTATCGGATGTTGTACATCGTTACTCGGTGTCATCTATCGCTGTCCAATCTGCTTAACTGATGACTTATGGGACACGCTCAGCTATGGAACACAAATAACAGATTTTTGATATAAGGAAACTTCAATGCACCCGATATTAATGGATTTAACGCGGGGGAATACAGAAGAATGGAGAAGGCGGGGAGAATAAATTGAATTAGTCCGAGTTGATCGGATGGCATGGCTCGGCCTTGCAGGCGTGGTCCCAGTTGAATGTTACCTTGTATCTTCTATTCATATTAAATATATTCTATCTCTAGCCTAAGCTTGGTAATTGTTACAATGCAATGAATCGGTGTAGACGATGATGTAACTTCCACGTAAGATCTTATAGATTGGGCAGTTACATCATGATAAATCTACAATTTTAGGATTAGGTCTATTTTTAGAGCAGTGCTGATATCATAGTAGACCGTAATTCTACATAATCACTCATGCGACTGACGATATTACCAACCTAAATATTCTTCCACCATTAGCGAATAGCGATCACACTGTTTTGTCATCCACGTTTAGAGCCAGTGACGTGATATAGGATCACATTAAGCCTCACTAAAATGCATGGACAGCTAACACATTATCCATTCAGGAGTGCGCTGTGAAGGCATATTAGTCAATAGATAACAGCTCATCAGTTGGCGAAGCATGGTCTATATTTAAAGGCAAGTTTAATCCGGTTATGTTTTCGTCTATACTATGACCAGTACCACGTAGACTGAATAACTGTCCACCATGAATGACTAAACCAGTCAAGAAACTTCTTAGACGTAGGTAAAAGCGCTGGAACACGTTCATCTCCATTGGCTTAGAACAATACAAATTCAGTTACCGTAAGACTAGGAATGCTCGTAAAGTGTCGATAAGTAGGATTAAACAGTCGTATGGAAAACAATGGGTAAGTGATTGTAAAAATAGTTAGAAACGGTCATTCTCGCGTATAAAGAGGGGAACTCAGAGGAGTGATAGAATCCTATAGGTTTTGGCGTAAGAATAACTGCCAACATTGACAAGAGATGCCCGAAAACTGAAGCTATATCAGAATATTTTAGTAAAGTGTTTTCAACTAGAGATAAAGAACGACCAACGCTTAATTGTGATTGGAGCGACTTGTTGGTTTGCCCTGTAGTTATTGAGAAGGGTGCCGTCTTAAGACTATACAAATACCTCAAAACTGATAAATCCAGTGGTCCTGACGATATCCATCCTAGGATTATGAATGTCCTGTCGGATGTAATTGTTAAACCCATGGCCATACTGTTTGATATCTCTCTGTGGCCGTCCAGACTACCAAGAGACTGAAAATACGTAATAGTTAATCCGGTGTATAAGACGGGGAGCAGAGACTTGGTAACTGTCAACCCGTTAGTCCAACCAGTGCAGTTATATGACTAATAGAAAAGATTATTCAGATAGCTGTTATAAACTACTTAAGAGAGCATAAACTTTTATCCAGGGAAGAATATGGTTTTCAGGAAAGCATTTCATTCTTGATAAATCTGCTCGTTTTAAGAGACGGTAGGGCTGCAGCAGAAGATCGAAATATATCTGTAGATGTAAATCTCATAGATCCAAGCAAAGCCTTTGACAAGTTTAAGATTAAAACTGGAAAATTTTGAAATTCATTATGAGGTCATAGACTGGATAAGTGACTCTTAGTGATAGGAGACAGTGAGTTAGAGCTGATGGAGCTCTTTTAGAGTGAGAATGTGTAAAAAGAGGGGTTCCCAGGGCTCGATTCTTGGTCATCTTTTTTTACTTTATGTAAATGAAGACCCATGCACAATATGCCAGATAAGATGATATTACAGGATGATCTCAATTCATTGGTGGCAAGGATGGGCGGATTGTCACTAGAAGTAGATTCTAATAAAAGCGTGGTGATCCAATTCAATAACTGGGATGATTCATATCACTACACAATACGTGGAGTTGTGTTGCTCAAAATAATGGACTATAAAGACTTGGGAGTCATAATAAACAGCGATCTCAAAACTACGAGCAACTATAGGGCTACTGCCAAAGGCTCTAGGGTATTATGGGCTATTAGTAAGTCTTTTCAGTACTTGGACGAAAAAATATTTACAGTATTATACTCGACTTTCATGAAATGGCAATTGAAATATGGGATTCGAAAGGCGAGTCCTTGTCTCAAGTATGAGGCAGATATTCTGGAACTAGTTCAACGACGAGGAAAAAGGTCTCCATGGCCTATCTCATGAAGAAAGGCTGGGAAATCTCAACTTATCTTACCACAAATTACGAGGTGTTTCAATATTGGTTGATTGTATACTAAACGACGATTCTGGAATTAATATATCCTATCTTTTCCTTCCATCTGGTACTGATAATTTAGAAGAACGTTACAAAGCATTTCAAAAACCGAGATCAAATCATCGACATCCAGCGTTTCGCTTCTCCCATCGAGTAGTGAATTGCAGGAATTTTCTACCAGAACACGTAACATCATCACCATCTGTTGATATATTCAAAACGAGATTGCACCTCTAGTGTTAAAACTGCGAGGATTAACACAAGTTGATAGACCTCCTATCCTTATTAAAGAAAACATATCGGTTAGCACTAACTTGTTACAAATATGAATTTTAGCAGACATTCAAAATGTACGTTACTAATGGGTGTAGTTTCTGTTGTCCCCACAATCTATCAACTGTGTCTATAAGAAAAGTCTACAAAGGCATAATGTAAGAAGAAGGGCTCATTTAAAACTGCAGTTTCTATAGTAAAAGTTATGCAGGCAAAATCAACGCTGGAAATACAATGCATAAATATGGTATCATATATATATATATATATATATATATGTACACATGATACATTATTCAGTAAATCCCCTCCGTAATTCCCTCGGCTCTTTTATTAGTTTCAATGTGCTTGGTGTTGCAAATTTCGCTTTCGGTGTTTTTTTATAATCAGACTAAAACCTTCCACTCGTTTGTAATAATTATCTCACGTACATACAATATTTACATCTACTACGTAGTCAGAAACTTGAACTCTTCTTAAAATCATATCACAAGTGAGGTTTTCGGTTGAAAACTTGGGGTCGTTGTTTCTGAAGTAAAATGTTTTCAAGTGATTGGGACCTCTTGACCCTAAATCTTCATCTCTTCTCATGTTCGTCGAAATAATCTTTATCGTGAACGTTATCAGTATTACTTTTAGGTGCATGTGAGTGAAGTCATATGTGACACATTTTGAACGCAGTTAATATTCTGCGCCAAAGGTTTTTATTCGTTTCATTAAGCAAAATTTCCGAACACCATTTTATTTATTGTTGTGTCCACTATCCATGTTACATTGTTCAATGAACATTTCGTTCACTTCTGTTCATAATATAGCGGAAAAACAATAACGATATTGGTTATGAGTCAATATAATTGGAACTAAGGGAACTAGAGTAGTTTTATTTTTAATCAATTTGCTATCATGTCACTATCGTTGCTACTATAATTATTTCGATTCCTGTTTGCCATCACATTATTCTCACTCCACCATGTCTATATAGTATGACAACTTGGGTTAGCATGTATGTGAATGGATCTACGTTTCGACTGACTAACCTCAGTGACCTGGACATATAATCAGGATTATAATAAATCGAAACACTATTTGCATGAAAATTCTTGGTTTAGTGTTATGTCGGGATCTAAACATTATTAATTTCCACCTTTAATGCCCTCAGAGACAATACGTTAGTTACTAATTAGTAGTATTTTCGACACATCCCAACTAAGTTAATAAATGAGGGTTCATGGTTTCTTGCGTCGACGTACGCCAATGTTTACAAAACTCAAATTGACCTAGTGAATCACTCACACCATTTACGTAGTCAGTGATCAACAATTTAAATGCATGAATTAAAATAGGAGATTTTAAGATGTCATTTCAATATTTGATCATTTATAGTCAATTGAAAAACTCGAGGAGACTAAACATAATCTAAACCATCATTTCGTGAAGTCATCGATTGTTTATTTAAAGTATGTTTGCATTCTTTCGTTAGTTGGGGAATGTAATGCAAAAATTTATGGTTTGGATGGTAACTGTGCTGTTGGCACATGTGTGTACACTTCCCGGTCTAAATGTGGAATGTCTATTTTGTGTTTATTTACCACTCCGTTCTTCCAGTAATTCCTAATATCATGTTCCTCATGGCATTTTACCCTACTTATTTGCTCCTAAAATACTTTCTGGTTCAGTATTTTATGTGTGGTTGATGGCACTGAATAAAGTACATCATAATTCCGACTTCTTTTTCAGTCACATCTAAAATCCTCTATTAATGCAGAGACGTCCACTCACTCGCATAGAACTTGGCTTGCAAGACTTGATGGAATTTAAAAACTTCATTGATACACAGTCTAATGGAGACGGTGAAAAAGGTAGCAAAAGTACCAAGGATTCTTTTGAAAAGGTACAACTTCGAGAAGCTGAAAGACGCAGAAAAAATGCGCGTCATCGGATTGGTGAGTAGTAATCTTGATTATTGCTGATTACAAATTTCAGGTCTACCTCCAGATTATTAACAGACTTTAAGACTTAGTGTATATATATGATTCCGTCAACCACTATAATCAATGTTCACTTTCAACCCTTTTTCACTGGAACAGTATGTTTATCGTTTGAAACTTCTATAATGGGTAATTTTAACAGAATCGCCTGCTAACAATCTGCGAAGTGGTTTGCAACGTCTACTCGAATTTTTCGGAAGACAATATGACAGACACTACCTCAGAAATTTCGACTATATTGTCATATCTTTTACAATAAATCTCAAGTTCTAAAGTGTCGCAAAAATAATCCACAGCACAACCCACCTCTGGTTGATTTCTAGAATGAGGACTATATCCTAGGTTTAGAATGAATTGAATTATCTAGAATGTCATATCATACTGGAAGTCTTCTTTCACTAAGGAAGGGAGTTATTGTTGCGACTATTTTGGGAAGGGGTGTAGATAATGTACACGAAAATGATTTCGCCACAGGTTGGTTTTAAGGTGCTTGTAAAATATCGACCGGATCAGACTACACAGATTATCTAGACCAAATACAACAAACGGGTTGGATTTTGTTCAGGTCATCACATCTACTCTTTCTCAAAACGATCAAGTATCGTCACATGCATCGCATTTCTGATATCAGAATTGCAGTCAATTTACTGAACAGAACTGTACTTGACATCTGTACATTAGAGAGGGATGTACTTGAGGCGGTCATCTTGGATTTTTTCACAACTATCCTATTAGAGTGATAACATACAATTATCTTTAAATTCTAGTCCATAATATGAGTGCTTTTGAATGAGGCTAACCAATCTTGCTAATTTTTCTGTAGCCTTATAAATGATGACATTTCCCAAACAGCTTTGAAGGGAATTCCTACTCACTGTCTTCTCGCACCACGGGTGTTGTTTACGAAAATGAGAGGACGAAAAGCGAATGTCCGGCACCGACTTTAACCGGATCCCAAACCAATGGTGCACATGGGCTCCAGTATCCTGCGAGAACAAATGGCGTATGAACCAATTTCTTGGTCACCGACTTCCATGGGACTGCATCTCCACACGATGCTCCACTGCCTTGTGGGTCAGACATTCAGGTCGAAGGCTCGGGGTGTGGCTTGCTAAGAAAACCACCTGGTTCGGTTTGGGCACCCGGGCGGTAACACAGCCCTCACACATATCAAATGAGATCTGTGTGGCGCATATATATTTGGCGCCTCCTTGTACCAATATCTATGTGTTAAAATAAAATAAATAAATAGAGTACATGATTGAAAAACATATTTACTGCTCGCAATGTAAATTAGTCGATCAATGATCAGCGTTTCTGAGTAATGACGAGTACTCTTGACCATCAAAGCGCAAAATATATCACAAGAGGAACTTAGGGTTTGTCTATAAACTCATATTCGCTGGTGAACTGCTAGAAATGTTCAGGATACTCATGTGCCTGAATACTGATTTTTTCGAAGACAAAAAATCTCATATAGCTAAAGGAACCCATATTTGGCACTGTCACATTATTTTAGTTGTTTAAGCTTTAGTGTAGTAGCAGTAATCCTCTACTCTTGTCGTGCCTGGCGTCTTTAATCTTAGAACTTTAAACGACCCTGTATTAGGCCATTGTTTTCGGTGACTATGTTGTGCCTAATGTCAATGTGCATCGATATGTGGCTAATCATATTAGTAGTCACTGTCCATTCATTGATAGCATCTTTGGCAACCAATTTCAAATAGTTTCCGAAATCAACTAGTTCTTCTCGGATTTCTGCTGAAGTTTGGTGAAACATATTACCCGTAATTATACAGTACATAAGATAATTTACTAAGGGATTTTAAAATTAAAATGTCCTTTATGTCTGAATAAATGCTTAACCGGGTTTTATAAATAGCACAAAAGGCAACTGGTAGACTCATGGGTATTATTAACTGAATTTATGGCTAAGAAACAACTAAAATATGATAAATTTTTGGTTGTGCATGAGGTTCGAGTTTTGGCTTATCCATGATCTTGATTACGAGGAAATTCAACAGACGATAATATAAGTTATTAAGGCAAATACCATAATTAGGAAGACGGTCGTAAAGATCATGGAGCTCAGTGACTTAAGCCACTCTTTGTGTTCTCCCAAACTCTGATCTTCTGAATTATTCATGTCCTTTCCCAATTTATTCCACTGGACTATACTCCTTTAATAACATCATCAAACCTTAATGTCCCCTATCTCTACTTATACTTTCAGTACCTCTACCACTATGGGATTTGAATCGATAATTGAATCTCTGTGCTAATGTGGTATGGCAACTCGAACTGATGTACGTACGTACGAAGTTCCACGTTGTTACTGACTGACTGACTTAAGCCATGATCATATATGACTTAAAATAGAAATCTATGGCAATCCTGTTGTAATTTTCTGATACTGCCTTCATAATAGTGAGTTGAACTTTTTTAACTGAGTAAAACCTTTCTTGACTGTATTTTTAGCTAAGCTATATCTTAAATGCTATTTCTGTTCATTTCATCATTGGTCCTACCATTCTTTTCTCCTTTACTTCTTGATATCGTTTTCTTTATCTGGGTCAGTTTTCGGTGCCTAATTGTGCCAGAATTTATGTGAACTAAATAAAAGATTGATATCGCTTTTAACAATGTTCATACATATTCCTACTATAGGTTTCTAGTGACTGGTAAGGTAAATCTTAAGCTTATTCAGCTTAAACAATCGAAAATCCGATAGTCTATCCAATATTAGCTGTGCTCAATAAATTAGAACATAAACTTATATAAAATTAAACTTACAGATGCGACTAAATGAATCGAATAAATGGGAACAACTAATTCACCAGTAAGCAGTAACACAATGATCCACTATTTTTTTTTTTTTTTTTTTTTTTTTTTTTTTTTACACCCTTGCTACACTATACGAATATGTCTTCTATATAACTTCTAACAAAATCCTCTCATGTTGTAAGCAGCTGATGAGAACCTACGAAATAAAATGAATTCATGCTATTCTGCTAAAATCTTTGTTCTAGCTCTTTTCAAAATGATAAAGGGAACTATGTGTATGAAATTTCTCAAAAAACGCCTCCCTGAACAGTTATTTAAGTCACTAAATCACTTTGTGACAGTACGCTGCAGAATATCAAGAGAAGTGACAAGGGTCAAGTTTTATGGAGAATGTCTCACGTCAGGCTATTTCCCACGGCAGTTTGTAAAATCTTTACGTTCATGTAAACTTCCACCATCGCTTAAAAACCTAAGACGCATTACCAAATCTCATATTGAATCGACAAAATTACTCATTACACAACTAAGGACTGAGGCCAGTGCTTTTGTTAGAGCCGTTAATGATTTAAACATCGTATGTCGAATAAAATTCATGAACTTCATTCGTGATCTTCAAATCAAGGTTTGCAAGGATTTCCATAAATCTCTATCGAAAACTCTGTTAAGAGAACAACTATGTTTAGGGTTTCCGGAAAACCCTTCGAAGTTTATCTATAACTTATCAAATACGAAGCTCAATAGTATAGAAACAGAAGCCTTATCACTTGGACTCAAATTTCATATACCAAAAACAAATACGGACAGGATTGATACAGAAGCTCAATTTGAAAATCTGTTTGACCAGTTAAAAGATTTGCAACCAATGAATGAGGAAAAGAAAGGATGGTTCAAATCAAAGTTAGTTGATATTGCCAACCAATACTTCGTGTCATCGACACCAAAGTCGAATGTTCTATCCAAAGAACATCTAACAGCCCTAAGAAACATCAAACAAAATAATGAGGTGATGATTCTACGACCGGATAAAGGTTCAGGTGTAGTCTTAATAGATACAGCTGATTATGTAACTAAGATGAAGTCAATCCTAGACGATCAACTTAGGTTCAAGGTAGATAAATCCAAAAAAGATTTGACTGATTCAACAGAAAAACGAATCACAGGAATGCTCAGAGAACTTCTAAAAAAGAAAATGATTGATAATTCTACGTACAACGATCTAAGACCACGTGGTTCACGTCTACCTCACATGTATGGTTTACCAAAAATTCACAAACATGACGTTCCCCTCAGACCTATCCTATCAATGATCAACTCACCGTATCATAAAGTTGCACGCTGGTTAGCAGTAAAACTAGAACCGGTTCGTCGGAGATTAGCAACATACACGTTAAGAGATTCATTCCAGTTTGCTGATAGATTAAATCATACGAATGTTACTGATAAGTTAATGGTCTCTTTTGATGTAACATCATTGTTCACCAATATACCACTTTTTGAAACTATTGATATAATTTGTCAGAATGATGATCTCCTACCTTTACCAGCTCCAGAACTCAAAAAACTACTACTAATGTGCACAACTGATGTTCAATTCCAATTTAATAACACCATATATCGCCAAATCGATGGCGTAGCAATGGGGAGTCCACTAGGTCCAATTCTGGCAGATATTTTTATGGGGTATCTTGAAAACACGGTACTTAAACAGGCGATCAGTGAAACGACGGAATACTACAGATATGTGGACGACACATTTATTGTCTGTAATAATAAACAGCATGCAACCCGCCTGCTAGAACTCTTCAATAACGCTCATCCTAACATTCACTTTACTATGGAGCACGAACAGAACGACATGTTCCACTTTCTTGATGTTGCCATAAGACGTAGGAAAGACGGGACAGTACAACGTTCAGTTTATAGAAAAGCAATTGGAATGGCCTCTATCTGAATTTCAATAGTTTCTGTCCAATTAGTTACAAGAAGGCACTGGTTAAAACACTATTTGACAGGGTAGAAAAGATATGTACCACCGACAAACTTGAAGAAGAATTAATGAACCTAGAAGAATGTCTAAGAAACAACTTCTATCCACAAAAGTTTATTGACAAATATAAAAAGCCCAAAGAAAACAAGACGGAAATAACTACGGTCAATAAAAAGACAGTATCTATAAATCTTAACTTTAAAGGTGATAACGTCGCACAAATAATCAGTAGGAGACTGAATATTGCGCTTGCCAGAACTTATCCGGCTGCTAAACTTTTAATTTTCTATAAAACAACATGTTCAATAACTCAATCAAAGGTCGACAAGCAACCCTTTCATGTTACCGCCAACTGTATTTATAAATTTACGTGTACCTGCCAAAGCAGCTACATTGGCAGAACAGAAAGGAGAGCATACCTTAGATTTTTTGAACATGTTCCAAAAAGTCTTAGAACAAGGGAAAGAAGGACTCTGAATAGTGCAATCACCAAACATCTCCTTGATACAGGACATCAGGTAGATACCTTACAATCCTTCAAGGTGATTAGTAAGCAGCCAAACTCCAGTCTTCTGAAGTTTGCTGAAGCCGTTGCCATCAGGCGTCAAAAACCTGACCTATGTGTTCAAAAGGAGATGGTTGTTAATCTTTCTTTGCCTTGGTGACAAATATTCCTTCTCTGCACCATAAATTATTATTATTATTTTTGTACTTATTACATCATTGATTTTCATTATTTTATTTCTTCAACTACGTTTCAAATTAATAATCTTTTAACTGAACTCTACTCACTATATTCCTATCAAAATTTTTTTTTTTTTACTCATTATGTAATCAATTGTTTCTAACCCCCTTTTTGAACTGTCGTCACAATTAATGATGTAGAATATTCTTTCACATTAGGTATATATTTACAATATTCAGTATATTAATTTCATTTACACCCTTGCTACACTATACGAATATGTCTTCTATATAACTTCTAACAAAATCCTCTCATGTAAGTCATTTAAACTCATTGTCTTATTATGATTTATAAATATAACAGGTTGTAAGCAGCTGATGAGAACCTACGAAATAAAATGAATTCATGCTATTCTGCTAAAATCTTTGTTCTAGCTCTTTTCAAAATGATAAAGGGAACTATGTGTAACAAACTACTCAATTGGTAGAACAAAAGGACGGTACTTTTCTGAATATCATTGACCATCTGTAAAATCAGTGGGTTTATGCCCTCAATGTTTATCAGAAATTTACAAATTATTTTATCTATAAGTGCACCACTTATCTAATTTTATTCATTTCATATTTCCACCTGACCTGAACTGATCATAAAC